TTTTAAGACATGCACAAATAAAATTTATACCATATGAGCGGGGTAGGGCAATGTCTATAGTACCATATTAAACTGTAAAATTACTGTAAAAAGCATAACTTAAAGTTCAGATACAAGTTTTCACAAAAACAAAAAGTTATATAAAATGATAAACTTTACATTTCAGCATTTAAACCATTTTTAAGAAAACAGATGAGTCAAAAGTATTAGTTATTATATTAAGTTAAACAATTATTATCAGTAAATTATTGTATAAATAAATAAAATATCTATTTATGTTTCACTCGGCAAATACTTAACACTTGACGCTCTGCATTAATTCAACTGTCAACCCAATAAATACATTTATTCACTTGAACCATACATTCTGCTCCCTCTCTAAATGTCAAGTCAAACATTTTCAGTCTTAAAGCAATTGTCAATCACTTGCCTGGTCATTTGGGTCCATTTTGGTCATCATGTGTTCCTCCAGAAGGTTGAAGGTCAAAACCTGAAGCACGTACAGCTGATGTGCCATTTCAGCTTTGACCGGTCGATTCCCTCGGATGATGTGCTAGAAGGCAAATTTAAAAGGACAGACCATCACTGCTGTTACTCGCAGGGGTGTTTCCTAAAACAACACTCTCATTATCACACTGCTCCTGAAGAACTATAAACTGATGTTTCTATACACACACTACTGGGCATACGTTCTGTGGAGAAGACAGATCTGATCTGTATTCCATCAAAAGATGCTCATTGAGCATTGATGGGGGGGAAAAAACTGTCACGATTTACTAAAAAACATGCAGTGAAACATTAGCCATGAAAAGCTTTGGCCATACTTAGGCCTGTCACGAAAACAACTTTTTGTTGTGCGATATATTGCCCCAGAAATAATTGCAATAAGCAATATTATTGTCATTTTAAAGACCATTTTATGCCACTGAATATATAATCATAATGTAACAGCATAATAATACAAGAAGGCCTACACACTTCCAAATGACAACAAACTTTTAATTTTTGGAAATTTCATGGAAATTAAGTATCAAAATATTAGATACCTTAAAAAACCTGAATAAATAGTAAATAAACATTTTCTAACAAAAAGTGCAAAGTAACAAGCAGAAAAAAAGACAAATGCACAAAGAACTTGTATGGAGATTTTTCCATCTACAGATTTTTCCCTGACCTTCTTTTCTCTGTAAATGAAGGGTGCACACTATTGCTGAAAAACACAATCACTACTCAGCAGTCAGATGTCTGTATGCACAAAGGCACAGATCCCTAAACAAGATCATATCTGCAGAATAAACTTTGTTTGTAGAAGCATTTTTTAAATTTGAACTAGCACCTCATGACTACACCACGTTATGTACGAGAAGCTGCAAAAGATACAGGCGCAAGTGGAATGTACAAAACACGATGACATTAATTTTTAAGTAAATATATCGTAATGGGCGATATATTGCGTCATCAAAAATCATTGAGGTCATGTACATATATTGCGCGATAAGTTGATATATTGATTATTGCGACAGGTCTACTGCCAACATGTTCTGTGTCAGCAGAAAGGATGTTCCTCTTACCTGTTTGCCTGGGCTATGATCCGTTGAGGTTGCAGGTATGTTCAGGGACTGGCTTCTTGTTACAGCCGCCCCTGTTGATGCTCTTCTGGGTTGGGTGGCTAAAGTCACTTTGCTCTTCACCTGTGCTGAGGGACTGCCATTATCCACAACTTCAGGTTCATCCAGAAGAACTGCATCCCATGGGTCTTTAGCAGTCCCAGACTCCTCTACGAAAGGTCCACTTGATACAGTGAGCTTCTCCTCTACCTCCACCTCCTTGCGCTTGTTGAGCGGGTCCAGGTCCAGCCACTCAAAACGGCTGATGTTGGGAGGTTCTGAGGGTTGAGGTATGGGCTCCAGAGACTTGACACTTCCCGATTCGGTTTCCATGCTGGAGGACCTGCCGTTCTTTAAGTATTCCGAAGTGCTGGCAATCTTGTCAAATAGCTTGGCCATCTCTGGGGTGACGGCAGGCTGTGGGTAGACCAGAGCAGCAGGTGGTTGGATTGGTGTAAAGGAGAGAAAGGGGGTTGGTTGGGCCGGCAGACTAATAAAGGGAGACAAAGCTAGACTAAAACCATTCTGGAAAGAGCACGGAGGCTTCGGGAAGGGAGCAGAGGGGAACATGGGAGTCTGTGCGTGTGTTGGGGTGGGTGTCCAGTGGAAAGAAGAAGGGCTGAACGCATGTCCTCCAGGATAAGATGCACTGAGATTGCAACCTAGCAAAGAGGAAGGTCTTGTCATTTTGCTGACGCCAAAACTGTCATCCAGAAGCAGCTTTTCCAGCTCCTCCTTGGTCAGCTTCTCTAAATCGATATCCTCAAATTTGTCTTTTTGTTCTTTCTGCTGTGTTTCCGATTCGGAAAACACAATGAGGTCTTTCTCTTGCCGGCTGGTGGATGTTTGCGCTGATGGATTGGGAAGGGGATTACCAGAAGGCGCTGTGGCTGGTAGTGTGTGCCTTTTCTCACGCTTGATTTTATCCAAGGCCTCTAACTCCATACGTAAAGCCTCCTCCTTTCCCACAATCCCTTTGGGCCGGACCACCCCCGGAGAGGCTGGCCTGTCAAACTTAAACCCATTGCCACTGGATATGTGGGCCATGGTGTCAGCTTTGCCTTGCTATGTACATGGGGAGACCACTGGGTTCGACAGGAACTTTACAACAGTTGCCTACAGGATGAAATTGAGAGAATATTACATTTTAGTATCAGGAACTCAATGATTTCAAAAGATGTATTGCATGTTCACCACCAACTACGATGCACTTGTAGTGCTATTTGTAAAGGTGGTCAATATAAGTCACTCTGGGGGATTTGTAACAATCAAATTTCCTGTTCACAATGGTGTGTTTACAAATATGAATTTCTTTCACTCACAGTAATGGATCCAGTCCATTATGCACCAATGCTAGCGTGACATTTTGACATGAATCAAATGAATGAATCCTTTTTGTTCCTATGTTCATTATGAAAGCACTTGCAAAACATGAAAAGCCGGGTGAATGCAACCCTACACCTTGCAATAGAAAATTTACTCGGCAGCAACTCAAGCCTGACAAAAGATGCACGAGGCCGTCATATATGACAGGATCATGGAAAATCTTTCATGTTACGATACAACAATCACATGTTTTGAGTTTCTGACAAAAGCATCATGAATATTTCGGATATGGGAAGTCTTTAGATTACGAAATGCTCAAAACATCAACAGGAAAATACAGTTCATGTGAGCAGCTAGGGCGTGTCAAAATCTAGATTTATTGGGTGAATGGCAGGTGGTTACAAGCACATACCAGACATTTCCCTGTGCCTTACAGGCCTGAGACATGCCAGCTTGCAATTGAAACGGAACCAATTAGTTGCAAACTCAGAATAGGGTTTCAAGCTCCTCGTTCACAGCTTCACGGATTATGTGCTAAACCCACAAAAAAAGGGCAGGACTAATTTACATTACTTAAGTGAGGACAAAACAAGAAGTAATGAAAAAAACACAGAGATGCGTCTTTAACAAGTCAAGACAGAGAGGAATGTGTCATTTAGGGGTGTTGTGTTCTACACAATGCAATGCAGAGTTTAGTTGATAACAGTTGACATGCATTAGTAAAACGATTTAGGCCTAACTGACGTTCAGGCGCAACAACAAAAATCTAATGATTTAAAAAAATTATTCTGCCAAACAATGTAGTTCTTCAGCAACATTTAGCAGAATGGATGTTCTGCTAAATGCTGATGATGTTATTGCTGTTGTAATGAGGTGTGTGTTTATGGAGTATTTTACAATGGCTTTGAGCACGGCTCATAATCAAGGATTGGAGTTCATAATAAAGAATTTAGCTGATGTACATTTGCAGGTTTAAATTCATAAACTATTTTACAACTTCAAATGCTGCTTATACAATTTTAGAATGTATAGTTTGAACTAGGGCTGCACGATTAATCGAATACGATTGTCATGCGCAATTTGTTAGTAATGCCGGTTCTGTAATCAGCAGGAAATCATCATCACGTGCTTTCAGATGGAGCAGCATTTACTACACAGAGCCGTAGTTCACTGACAAGTTATGCAAAAAAAATCACATATTTGCATAGCTTCTCAGTGAACTCCGGCTCGGTGTAGTAAATGCTGCTCCATCTGAAAGCATGTGAAACCACATTTAATAACATATTTTTACTCCAAACTCAGTCAGTCGAGTGTTTGAAATAAATCCTTCTGTGAGATGATGTGGCTTCTTACACAGAATAAGGCACGCAACATATTTCATAGTATTCTAAGTAGTGATAAAGGCATTGCATTATAAATATACTTTATTTTAATGAAAATTATAATAATAATAATAATAACTCATAATAATAAACCATATATTGTCATAATCGTGTGTTTATTAGTCACATTGAATCACTAAAAGCAGTTGCATCTTCTGTTTATTCAGCTGCAGCGATAGGCATTTCCTGGGTTTCTTCTGCGAGGCGTATTTGGAGTTTCAGCGCGAGAGCACCCTCTGGCCTTTGGATGGAGATTTACTGCTGATCACAGAACCGTGCTTCACTGAAAGATACGCATGACAATCGCAGCTTCTGTCGAATCACGATTTTGATTCCATTTCGATTTATCGTCCAGCCCTAGTGTGAACTATCCATCTAATAATATTAATTTCATAATCAGATTCATTTGCATGACGCAGACGCTACATAATAACAGCCGTTTTTGCACTGTTGCCAATCTTCTTATCTTAAAGGGGTCATCGAATGCTACATGCACTTTTACAAGTTGTTTGAACTGAAATGTGTGTCGGCAGTGTGTACACACAACCACCCTATAATGACAAATATCCACCCAGTTTTTTTTTTTTTTTCTCGTTAAATGTTTTCCCCTTTCTCAAATCGAGCCGATCTCAGATGCCTGTGTGACGTCACACAGACAGGCCCCTCCCACGATAGTCTGACAGTAGCGTTTCAGCACAGACTGGACTGGTGTTCTACTTTAGACCCGCCCTGAGTGAGCTCTCATCAGTCCGCCATTGTGTCACCGTCGGAGCAGATGTAGACAAGAATGACTCCTAAGCGATTGAGGTGTTCTGTTGTTGGATGT